GAGAAAGAATAAACTAGTTTTAATTAAGAAAGAACTCGTATTGCTGAAGTTTCCCGGAAAGAATTTCTACGGGAAATTAACAAACAAGCAAATAAGTAACAATATAAATGCTCGAACTTGAAACTTTCATCCTATTCCGTAAAACCCATCACAGATACTTGACATTATAAAAATCTAACTAGAGTTAAGAAGCCTTAATACTGCTCTTCTGTATCAAGATACTTCAAGTGCATTCGTTAAACACTGGGAGAAAATCATTGGCGTTTCTAATTCGAGTAATAGCTGTGGCACTGTTCTCAGGCAAGGTGTCCAATTCCACAAGGATAAGATTGTACTAGATAAAAAATAAATCATTCAGCCACATGTTGAATAAATTATACGGAAAACAAAACCTTAAAATTGATGATAACAAACACATCATATATTGCACAGAGCATGGAATGAGTCTCATAGGCTTGAAAAAAAAAGTAATTTATGTGCATCTAAAAAAAACAAAAAACAACAACAACAACATACAATATTCCACCAAAACTGGGTGCATTACGGTATAACTCGTGCAATGGAATAAATAAACAAGATATATGGCAAACAACAACGACAAGAAAAACACATAAAGGCTAGCGGGTTGACCTGTAGTATACGCTTAGGAAGGTTTCTGTCATCTTCCTCAGTGATTTGTGTCTCATAGGTGAGGCGATCGAAAACTGGCGGGTTATCGTTTATGTCCTTCACGTGGATAAGCACCGTCGTGTAGTTCTCGTAAACATCATCAGACGCAACCAGTTGCAGCCTGTACTATAGGATAAACCATTATCAATTACATAGAAACAGGATCAGAATGTGATCAACATTTTGAATACTAAAAATTGTAATAACCCTATCTCACCAATAACAAGATTTTATTGACAAACTATGACTAAAATCTGATCGATTTCAGAACTTCTCATGTTAACAGTAAAGTACCATGGGAAATAGTATTATGAAAAGTCTCCTCTTTATGTCACTTCAGATTTTAGATCCACTATGCAGCAATCTAACACTCATATTTTATTTTGTTTTTCCTCTCGGTGATCATCTATAACACCTTAAGCAACGGAACACGAACCATGGACCTTCAGATTATTAGTCCAGCACGCTAATTTTACTCTTACCTACAATAACTAGCATGTAATTCTCCGTAATCTTTTTTACATTGTGTACTATGTTTAATCATTTAAAATCCCTTTTAAAAACTAATAAATAACATATACAACAAAACATACCATAAGCTGAAACTATTACAGTTTGAAACAAGGGTTACCATAACCATTACAATCTTTAAAAACACGATTATAGAGAATACTTTGAACCACCATGTTTAAAGTATATGACAGAATTTCAGACAAATATTTCTTGCGTTATTCTTTAGCTTCTTTAACATATCATCCTTCGATAGGCCAGAGGTAAGTTTCCGAACTTACAATGCTAAGATTCGGGGTTCGACTTTCCGCGGTGGAAAAAAGCGCTGATAGCCCAGTATGAACTTTTCGCTAAAAAAACAACAACCCAGGTCTATCATATCATTTAACCAATTTAATTTATGGATCGACTCAAGTAATAAGGTAAGTTATTATTGTATGTGGAAATGAACCTTAGCTATACTAACAGTTATCTATATTCTAGAGCGTTACATCAAACGTAAATATACTTTTACTGCTTATATCAAAACGTTTGTATTTCTGAAACATATATACCATATAATATTGAAATTAATAAATAAAGCGAAGTCATAACTCTCAATACTTTATATCATATATATATATAGATAAAAACCTGTCAATTACCGTTGTTATCAGAAGTGGCAGATGACACTTTTCACAACATATCAATTCCTGATGTGTTTTGAAAGAGACAAAATACATTATGATTGGCTTCAGTGTATGACTGAATCTTAATCTTCTTATTAACAGTAATTCTTTAGCATACAATCTTCTCCTATCATCAACATTTTCCACATTGATGTAATATCGAAGTATGCTAATGAAAAACAAATTTAAAGGAAAACCTGGTACATCGTTACCATATTAAATGTTGGAGATTTCGACTTCAATTACTAGATTCATTAAAATCGCATGGCTAAATACACATTTCTTTACGTTGATTGGTAGGAAAAAAAGTAAGTGTAAATACTCCTGCAAAAATACGTGTACTGTAACAAGACTAGTCATATATATATGCTGTTTTAAGTTATTATCATGAATGTCAACAAATGTAATTACTATATAGCTGATTTTTCTATATATATAACTACATCTTTATATATTAAAACATGAAATCAAAACACAAACTAAAGAAACCGTCACTGTAGTTATGAATTTATCTTTCCGGTGGTTGAGAAAAATATTACGTGTTACATAACACATTTTTTAGTTGTTTGTTTGTTTGTTGTTATAATTATAAAGCTTCATAACGGGCTATCTGTTCTGTGTCATAACAGGGACTGAACCTCAAATTTGATAGTTATTCGTAGCCCTCAAGCTTGCTGTTGAGTCGGCAGGGGTGTCATAATTTTTTTTTCGAATAAAAAGTGCGTAATTAAAACACATGTAAATTCAACACTATTTTTAATTTCTAGTAAATTAATTTTAAAGATGTTAATAACACTAACAATATGTAAATCTTACATCAATATAACATTTTCAATATCAACACAGTGTGCACTACCGAAGGTAAGACACAATCCAAACTAATAACATAAATACTGATTAGCTATGAAATGTAACATTTTGATTTTTTCTATCTTCTAAAAAAATCTAGTGAAACGTAACATTTTCGTTTTGTTTTTCTATCGTATAAAAAAAGTATAATTATTTTCCGTACCAATAAAATCGCATTTATACCATTATTAAATAATTATAACATTAAATTAGAGGGGTACTCGGTAGAACGCATACTTCCGCCACACAGCGTTATCATATTTGGCTCTCAAAAAATATCCGTATGTCTGTCGTTATCAACGGCCATGGACCACTTTTGGCAGGACAATGAGGGATAATATTCTATATAAGTCCACCTAGTTTCATCAAAATCCGATCATTTTTGACTGAGTTATAGAGCAAAAACAGGATGAAAAATCGGTCCCCATGTTAACAGATACGGTATTTTTTTCTTATTCTCGTGACTTTGACCCTCCAAAAATTATTCACTTTTAAGTTGGGTCATAGTCCAACTGTATACCTATTTCGTCCAAATCCATTCAGTCGTTTTCGAGAAATCTTGCTGACAAACCCACAAACAAACACACACACGCACATAGATGAAAACATAACCTCCGTCCACCTTTGGTGGCGGAACCAGAAATTATCAATAATACACTCTCATCTGTAGTCCCTTAATAACAGTATGAAAAAACGTAAGACTTTGAAATTACACCTGATACTGTCAGGTTTTGTTACACCTAAAAAATACATACCTATGTTATCCTGTGTTTCTTACCAACAACTGACATACCTCACTTCGGGTTTCATAATCCAAAGGACCAGCCACATAGATAGCTCCCGTTTCATTCTTAACGGCAAACACTCCTCCAATGTTTCCTTGGGTGATTTCATATCTAATTCTTGAAGCTGAAGCTAGAATGTAAAGTCAAACTCGTATACAATTATTTTAGCTTTCTAAAATAGGTGCTTTTATTAAAAAAATATTTCTTTGTTGGTGTGTACCAATCGATGTATAACTTTGGAATATATTTCGAAAATTCACTAATGATAAAAATTAAATATTTAATGTCCTAAAGTAACTATTTTCAGTGTGTGTCCTCGACTGGATCCAGAATTCTGTTTATCTATTCATCTATAATAATAATTATTTATTATCTTTTCTTGTATCTTTACTAATATACAGGGTGTCCGAAAAGTCTGGAACCATAGGCACTTCAATGAAGTTTACAGAATGGGTTGCATATGCTGTTATAGGTTATATTGTTATAGGTTACTGATGATAGGCCGCAAACCCAATAACATCTCACGTCGGTTATCTTAACTCCATTGACTAAGTAACAATCCAAAACAATCTCTATAATAAAATATGATAATAATAAGTCAAAAATAATAAAATGAGATGTATTAAAAAATCTAATCAATACTGTTAATGAGAGTAACTTTAAAGAAATAATAGAGTATACCTCACTTATGAAATACACAAACTCTAGCTGCCAGCTACAATCATTGTCGTAGATTTAATGTTCATTGAACAACATAATCATAATTATTGTTGAGTGAAAATGAAGAATAATACAACAATATATCAACCATACTAAATCTGCTGTATCCAATGCTGACGAAACCTATCGCCCAATACCAGGGCTCTTCAGTCCGGTTGGGATACAACAGACATATTTCATATAATCAGTTGTTTAAACAACAGCTGGTTTGGTGTTAACAAGATTAAGTTGGTGAACTACAATTTACCAACTTTTTATTAAATCATTTCACACCATAATTAGTTTATGATTTATTTTAACATCAAATTATTTATATATTTTAACACTAAACTGTTTATTATTAATATCATTTTACTTGAATTAGCTTTACTCATCATTAAAAACAACAACAAAAACTGTCGAACCATTGCATCAGGGCCCAGCATGGCCAGATAGTTAGGGCGCTC